ATACTTTAGAGATTAAGTGATTGTTTGGATAATTTAAAAATTTGTTAAAAAAATAAAGTTAAAGTCAGCAATTAATTTTGTTTCAAATAACCCCTAATCTAAAGCTGTTCAATTGAACTTTTTGCCAAAATCAACACCAGAGCGGGCAACTTATCGAACTTAAAAAAAATGGGTCTTCTTTGATTTCCATTTTTTCCAAAATATATGTCTCTCTTCTTTTTAACCACGCATTCTGTATTAAAATAATATTACACGTAAATCAATTTTTTTTTCTTTTTTTTAACAATACATTTACCATCAATCTACTATTTCAAAATATATTTTTAAAGAAGAATGGGCTCAAATACGAGAAAAAAGTAAGGTTGACAAAAGGTCCAAAGAATATTTGGTGGTACTGTAGTCTAGAAACATTCTTGTACGTGCTAAGAAATTCCATTCTCCATTTGTCTCCCCCACTTGCAACCTCTCTTCTAAGCTGAAATTTGACTCATTCTTATAGACAAAGAAAAACCAGTCATTTTCCATTTTCCCCTCTTTACCCGCTGTTATATATAATAATTTGTTACTTGTTAGGAATAGCCATGAACTCCTTATTTCATTGTGCATCGATAATGTATTTATGTATATGCTAGAGAAAAGAATAATGTTATTTATTATTCATTATGTAACGGTTTAGATAATATTGAGTTTCTTCATTCAAAGTTCAATGCATTACAATTCCGTCAGACAACGAACTAGAGATCCATTTGTCACCTATATTGCTAGCGAAATTATGGATTAAAAGAATTTTTAGACTGTTTCGGCATTAATTATACGTGAAAATATTTTGCGAATCATTCAACTATAAAAATAAAATGCAGAATGAGGCATCTATTTTCTGCAAATAGAAATTGAGAAGCGGGGTGGGTATGGTGCCTACGGTCAAAAGACAACCTCAAAATTCAAAAGAATCAGCTGCAGAATAGTGAAAAAAAATCCGGCGTAAAAAAGTAGACTCAAAACTCACGTCAGGCGAAGACGAGAAAAGTCAGACACGACACAATGATGGAAGAGGGGCAAAATTCAGAATGAGAGAAAATTGTTTACTACGTTAGTTGTCGTACGATGAATATTGTCAAGTCAATTATTGTAGGTCCCAAAATAAACTTAAAACATCGATTTGTAAACAAGAACAGAAAAATAATCAACCAAAATAACAAGATCAACACAAGGATTTTTCGGCCCAAAGACCTCGAGGTTCGGCGACCACTTCTAACACCTAATCCCCGTTGAGCATCCGTTAGGAATAAGCTCAATCCACTAAAAACCGCCCAAAAATAGGCAAAAATTGAACCACAGTTCACGACTACAAGAATAGCAGAAACAACACAAATTCTTCCTCTACACATATGAACTCACACAAGAGTTCATTACTCTACTCTCAAATCTCACAAATTCACACAGAAATTAGAGATTACAAATTTGCAAAGAGAGTGTAAAAGAATAACGAAGAAGCTGCTTTGCCCTAAGAGAGAAATCAAAAGTCTCGTGTTTTGCTAGATGAGATCGGCCCCTTTTGTGAGAATAATCACTTCAATTCAATCCAAAGGCCACAATAATGCCATGTGTTGTCAATCAATTAAAACATCCCTTTATTTGCAGATCAGGTCCTTAAAGTAACAAGTTTTCACAATTCCATATCTTTCTATTAACTGGGCAGATCATTTGGGCAAGTCACTTGGGCCAAATACAAAATACAGTTGGGCCTCAATTAAACAAAAAACAGCAAACCATCTTCAACAATCTCCACCTTTTGCTGCATTTTGGGACAGTACTTAGTGGATTTAAACATAGACCAACTTCATTTGCTCTTATTACCTGTACAAAAACAGAGAATTAGTTTTTTTTCAAGATTCAATAATCTTAAAGAATCTAAGAACTTACTTATACGTATTACCTTTGTTCCTGCATCTGC